TTTTATACATTTCTTCAAAGTGCAGACACGTCGGGTTCTGCTGTTGTATGTATATATAGATTATAGATACATACTCTGATAAAAGTTTATATAAATTTTGGGAGGTAATGCGCTGAAAATAATTTCTACTCATTTATCTACAAGCCTGTAGATGTTTATATATATATCCAATAACTCTTACTCAACGTCTGACTTTGTATGATATAGGTTCGGAGAGCGTGTCTAAAAATTAATATTTCCAAATTTACTCCATCCCCACTGATAAATTGGATTTCTCTGAAGATTATGCTGACGCGGTGTGAGCGGGTTGAATTTCGCGGAACACGACACGCGACTCGAGATTTCAATTTGACGTAAACGGCGTATAAAATGCGACAGGACGTTGTACGTAATGTAGCCCACATTACACGGGGCGAGGTTTTGAACATCACGTCTAAAAGAAAAATTAACAAGGCTCTGTATGCCTTCATTTTTATATGAAAATAAACTTTATCAACGTGTATGTCATACGAGTGAAAACTTGTTTAGCTCTGTTGTTATTTGAAATTCAACGAAACGAAGAAGCGTCCCTCGAAAGAGAAACTATATGCATCTATAAGATTAAGCCTGCGAGAGAATGTGATAGAATATGAGATGAGATAGAACGGTAAAGAAAGAGCATGTTTCAAATTTGAGCTTTTTTCCAACCCGGTTACCCACCGTAGATATGTTTTTATTATCTCCTTCCCTTATAAAACAATTTCGCTAAAGAAACCATAGTCATTGAAGTAAAATTTTTCAAAAAAATAGCTTAGAAGAACTACGTAGAAATGTTGCACTGACCACCTTAGAATAGCTGATGCGTAGGTAATGCGCCAAAGCACGCCGCGCGACCTTTTATTAAGTCTGTTTCTATTATTTTATATAATTTATAAGTATATTTTCAATACGATTTTTTGTTAGTTACTTTAGCAAATTTATTAAAAAAAAAAGAGGAAATTATGAACATTTGCGCAAATATGCATGATCAAATCCATACTGTATGCTCAGTCTGGATACTCTTATTTGTATTGTATAATTAAAAACAATTTAATAAAAAATTCATTTTAATAAATTAGTAAATATTTTATTGGTAAAAGGAAAATTAAGGAAGTGCATTTGCTCTGAATATTCTTTGGTGTTATATGAGGCAATGCGAAGAAAGGTGAATTGTTTATCATTCTACCTGTGAGTTTTGAGAGAGTAAGTTCGTTCCTTTATTACAGTAAAACTCGTGGTCCCATTTCAATAACTCGATATAAGTTAACCATCTCAATCTTGCGAATGTTGTCGAATCACCAGAATTAAAAATGGTGGCGTTTACATAAAATAGTAGGAATATAAAAAAGCGAATGCCAACGAAACGTATCGACAGATACAGCAGTAGTTTTTATATCCACATATTTAAGGGATTATCAAATTCTCATTTTCTGTTTTCATTTTCTAACATATAACAAAACCATCGATATTTGAAATTGACTAGTTATTTGGACTAATAGGCGCTTTTAGCGATGTGATCGGGCGTCGGCTTAAGTGCATTCCCATATTTCATGTACACACAATATAGGGTAATGAATCACCACATAAGTCCCTTTTATGAAAATGGGTTTTCAATTACTGAACACGTCGAAGTATGTGGCGTGGGGTAAAGTTCTCAGACGACGTAAGAAAATTGAGTAATTGATAAGCGCTCGTATAATTTGTTGAGGTCGTGCATTTAACAGCGTGAACGAGCGAACAGGCGTAATATTATATACAAATATCTTTGTATATAAAAATCGGCTTAGTGCATATGATGTGCATATGACGTAAAACTGATTGTGTATGCACAAAAATAAAAATTGCATGCATGTGTACACTAATGAAAATTGTGTGAAAATGATATCGTACCCCCTTAAAGTCGATGCAAAGTCAAATATTATTTGCTGTATTTAATTCAGTGAAGTTTTGGACTTGTACTCAGTCGTAGCTGAGAATTTAAAAACTGGCTAAGTGCTTATCGGGGACCACACAGTGTACGGTTCCGTAGTTGTTCGTTACGGTATGCGGATTTGGGAAGGGGTTTTTTGTTTAATAATACGAACATAGTAATTGAGTTCACGGTTTAATGGCTAATAACTTGATCTAAGTAATTTTGCAGTGTAATTATAAAAAATTTGCTTATTACTATTTCTCCAAATACATTAATTTTCAAACACCGCCAATATTTATTAATCACCTATCCAGCGGCACCCTATACGATGGGACAGATGAGAAAAAAAAATCATCCCTATTTTACTGGGAACGTGAACGACTGGACCCTCACGTATACGTCACGCCGGTCAGCGGGTAGTTCATAAGGAAACAATGGACGGCGTGAAACAGACGGTCTATTGAATGTCGACATATCAACACGTCGATAGACCGATATAAAATAAATCTTTGCGTTGTTATTTTGTTCAGATGTGTGTGTGTGTGTGTGTACAAGCGAGGAAATGTGCGTGTGTGATGCTTCCTACTGAGGGATTAGCGTGTTCGATGAGTGAATTAATATAATTAAAAACCTCATTCGTCAAATAGCCCATGGTCAGGATTGAACCCTGTACTTTCCGGTTCAAAGACAACGCTCTTAATCACCGACTGATCGTTGTTCTCAGAATATAGTCATTTAAAAGCCCCGTTAAACTAAAAATTGGATAATAAGATTTTAACTCAAGTCAAATCTAATAATTTAAAATAGTGTCTTGAAAACAATATTGGCGGTCTCAAATAGTTGTTGTCACCGCATTTATGACAACGGTCGTTAACGAACTGGGGCAGGCGTGTAGAGTCAGAAAGGAGCTTGAAGAATCTCCTTTTTAGAGGCTGATACAAAAAAATGTGGGTGTCGCGTATATTTAATTAATAATGACTTCATATGATTAATTTTTTTGTAAATTTAAAAACTATTATTGATAAATTTTTAATGTAATTTTTTTTATCTTCCCAAATACCTTTTCTTATTTCTTGTCTTTTCTATATTACATCAATATATTATTTCACTGCTGACCGTGTCCCAACTGGATCAATTGTTATTGTAAGTTTAAGAATAATATATAATACTTCTCATAGACTAAGAGTTTTAGAGTTATTTAGAAAGAAATTAGACCAAAAGCGAGGTTTCGTAACACAAATAAAGAAAAGACTGACGATAACCATTTTAAATATTAACTTTAACTTTTTGTTTTGTATTTAATATAATAAGAGATGGAATCTATGTTTAAAAAAAAACGGCCAAGTCCTTATTGGACCAAGTGCAGTGTAGAGTTCTGTAGTTGTCCATCACAATATGTCGACTTATAAAGGGGCCTTTTGATTGGTTGTATGAACATATTGATGGAGATCCTACTTAATGGTAGACAATGCCAAAAGGACGCCACCGTATATTATGGACGTTAAGGAAGTTATTGACCCACACTATGGGATAGACGAGGAACAAAAACGTCAGTACCATTTTACAAATAAGCAAGGAACCTCAATCGTCGTGATTAATATTTATATACATGTTAAATGAAAGTGTCTAGTACAGGGAGTTTCTGAATTAAACCACGGATAGACATATAGGCATATTGTAACATTGTATTTCTAAAGAGCATAAGTTAGCATTTTTCATATAACTACCGCCATCTGACATCAAAAAGCAAAACTATCAAGAACGACCTCTATTAGTAAATAACGAGCAATTTCTGGAATGTTCCAAAAAAAACATAAGTGGAAACAAAAAGCATACACAGGCGTTCGATATAAATATCATACATACAAAAAGATACGTACGACTTCAAACAGACGAAAACCCAAAAGAAGTATTATACAAAGTTACATGCAAGAGGTGCACGTGTGCTTTATAATCCACGGCGGACTCCTGATGGGATACAATCTCTGAAACAGAGTGCTTGTTTATGTCAACTCGCGGAAGCAGGGGCGACATTGGGCGAGGTGGTCTGGCCGAGCTCGTGTTCACATTGGCCGCCAGGCGTTTGGGCGAGTGTGATGTGTTGTCAGGGGTTGTAATCATGGACGACGATCGTTTATTTTTAATCGAAAATTATTACGTAAGGTGGGAGACGACAAAAATTAGAATTTGTGTGCACAAAATAAATAAAGAAAGACAACGGTATTGCGAATAGCATCGATAAACTGTTCTTCTGTATTGGAAGACATGATGAAAACCTTTATCGACAAGTTCAAATTGCTTGATTTTAGCTGAAGCCGCGAGTCAAATGCGCGATCAGCCGCTAGTTTGTCGTGAACACACACAAATAATTCACATGTTTGATAATGCCTCGAGCGTACTCTATTCGCCAGCCGTCAGCTAGCCCGCTGCTTCCATCGCACTTGCGTTTCATACGTGAACGATTGCGAATTATAATATGTGCTTGATATTTTGTGACCGCGCTCGTCCCCGCGCCCGCGAGTTACGGTGAACAAACACAAAGGGGTGCCAGTATTCGCGTTCGGTAGCATTTCGACGCGGTGCGCTTTTGGTAGCAATATTATTCAGTGTGGCGCAGATGACCACGCTGAGCTGCTATTTTCTGCGGCAAACTTAAGAAGCAGCAGTTACCAGCCGTAAAAGCTGTCGTTTAGAGATCCTAAGACCTCCAAACAAACATGGGCCGAGCCCACACTCACTCGGACCCGCACTAAGAGTGCTGTTAATGTAAATAATTAATTTATATATAAAATAAGCCCTAAGTGTTATTTGCATAAATTGATGTTCTCTTGTAATTTTTGATCAACTACATACCTGATTACCTTTAAACTAATTAAGTTCCGATAAATTGATACAACACACGTATGAATTTTTACGTGTCGCCATTTTGCGTTAGGGTCTCTAATCGGCGATCCTGAGATTAAGCTTCATGCTCTGTCGACTTAGCAAGTCGAGCTCTGAACTCAGAACCAGTACATCCATAGTGTTTGAAATGATACTTATATCAATAAAACCCAAATTGTTATATTAGCGCCTAATATGAGTGTTGAACCCATGACTCGAAGATTGAATCTAATGCTCTGCTAACTGAGCTAGCCGGGCACTGACTCAGCATCAATATTTCAGCATTTCATCAGATCTTACGTATATCACTAAAATACAAATAGGTTCATTGGCGTCCAACGTGAGCGTCGGACCCACAACTCTAATATTAAGTCCAAAATTCTACCCATTGAGCTAGCTGGGCACTAAACCCAGAACCTGCATCTAAGCGTTTCCACTGATATCACTTCAATTCAAATTGTTACATAGGTGCCTAAAGTGCCAACCTTCCAAAATCAACCTTAGAGCTCACGAATCCAAGATTAAACTTTATGTTCTATCGACTGAGCTAACCGGGCAGTGAACACGGAACTCGCTTCTCAACATGGAATTAAATCTGAAATATAACATTAAAATTCAAACGTTACGTAGGTGCCGAACGTATGTCACGAACCCACGAAATTGAGATTAAGTTTAATGCTCTATTGACTGAACTAGACAGGCATTAAACTCAGGATTAGCATCTCAGCAATATATCCAATGTTGAGTATATCACCAAAATGCAAATTTTTACCTTGGCGTCAAACACGGGCCTTGAAACCATGACCCCATTCTCAGACGACTTAGCTAGCCAGGCACTCAACTCGCAATCATCATCTCAGCGTTTCATCAGATCTTACGTTTATCACTAAATTAAAACAGTTACATTAGTGCCCAACGTGTGCTTCAAACTTAAGACCCCGAGAATAAGTTCAATGTTCTACCGACTGAGCTAGCCAGACATCGATTCCAGAACACGCATCTCAGCATTTCATCAGATATGACGCATTTAACTTAAATCCAGATTGTTACATCGACGCAAATCGTGGCTCTAGAATCCACGATCCTGAGAGTAAGTCTCATGATCTAATGACTGAACTAGCGAGGCATCGAATTCTGAACAAGTTTTTTAGTAATGTATCAAATTGTACATATATCACTAAAATCCAAATTGTTACATTGTTACTTCATTGTTACTCATGACTCTAAAATTAAGTCTTATGCTCTGTCGACTTAGCTAGCCCGACATTGAACTCAAAAGTAATGTCAGCAATTCATCATATCTGAAGGTATATAACTAAAATTAAAGTTGTTACATTGGCGTATAACGAATCCATGACTCTGAGATTAAGGTCAATGCACTACCAATTGAGTTGGCCATACAGCAGAAGGCAGAACCCATATCTGAAAACTTCATCCGATCTTACGTAAGTCACTTAAACCCAAATTACTTACATCGTGGACCTCTAATCCATGACCCTAAGACTACATCTCATGTTTTGCCGACTTAGCTAGCCAGGCACAGAATTCAGAAGCAATTTCTCGGGACTGTATCAAATCGTAAGTATACGACTATAAATTGTTACATTGGCGTTCAACCTGGGCCTCAAACCCACGACCCTGAGAGTAAATCTCATGCTTTATCGACTGAGTAAGATAGGCATTGAATTCAGTACCCGCGTCGAAGCACTATATTGGATCTTACGTATATCACTAAAATTCAAATTGCTACATTGGCGCTCTACCTAAGCTTAGAACCCAGGACCCTTACGTGAAATCTCATGCTTTATCAACGAAGCTAACGGCACACCCAACCCAGTACCAGCACCAAAGCCAGAAATGTATCAGTTTTTTTTAAAGAATGTTGGAGAGACAAATGCGTAGACGAGTCATCAGATTGTAAATGGTCACCGTCATCCATGTTCACCTACTAACCTAAGGGGGTCACCAGGACGTTCTGGCCTTTTGGGAGGATTTAATAATAATAAATCATTAATGTTCCAATTTTAATGTTTGCTTTAGTAGTTTAAATGGCGTTTATTCTATTGATAAATAATTTATTATGCTATTGCTAAATAATTTAGCAACCGCACAGCAAAATGTGATAAAAAGGTACAATGCGTACAACAAAGGTACAATTTAATGTTTTTTTCAAAACTTTTTGCGCAATATTTATTATTGTATAAATATCTAGCAATAAATATTGGAATAATGTATGTTTTTTTAGTTAATGAAAGTTTTCATCAAGGGATTTATTTATAATAAACTTTTAAACAGTACTAGCTACTTTGCATATTGGCACGCTATTATTTAATATCGAAAAAAGTCGTATACGATTTTTTGTAAAGGGAAAATTTCGTTAGAACGCTCTCGCTTTTGAAGCGTAAGTATCAAATAAAATTGCAATATTACCGGATCAAAAGAGGATATCATCGGAAAAAACTTGTACTCAAATACGTAACATTTATTTGGACGAGTTCTTGTTTATTAAGAAAGAAATATTGTTTACAATAGGATATCATTTCATCTATATGAGAAATGACTTATGCCCTTGGGCAGAATAGAGACGAGGCAAGATCGATGGAAGGCGTATGTGATCTGTTCAAATTTATTTATATAGACAAAGAACAGATCCCATATAGATGTGTTGCAGTATCTAAACAGCTTTTATTTCCATGAAAGAAATATAGACATGCCATAAATCGATACAATAAGTGATCATATTTAAAAGTAAATCTTTAAAGTCATTGTACGTTGTAGAAGTTTTAGTAGTACAATTTCCATTGCCACGTCAGTGATATATGATTTTAGACCCGGCATTTTTGGACATTGTCAGGAAATATAATAAAAGTATTTAAAAATGTAAATCTAAATCTTTTTCTTTTTATCGTGAAATGAGCAATTATTTTTTTCGGAGGGTCGCCCTCGCTGTTTCGTTTCAGTTGCGTCTAATTCTAAAAGCGCCATTAGTTGAGGAGTTTTCTCTATATGGTACATAGAGTATAAAATAATAATGGATTACCACAAAATTTTGTTAAAGAAACGAATCGTTACGGAACGCGTTTCTACGACAGTTAAAAATGTATAATATGCAGAAGTACATTTAGGCATTACACTAACCACTATATATTAATCCTAACTATTCATTTTAATAAGACAACCAGTTTAATCTTGCCGTCTTTAAACTTCCATCATTTGTTAAGATTAATGTTTGAAAATCTATATTTTTTTATGTGCATATCATCTCAGTAATTAAATTATTTCTGTTATTTTGGACACAGTTTTCTGATCTATAAAACTACGATATAAGAAGAGAACTATACGATATATCGAAACTGTGTGGAAAAGGTCATTAAAAAGAATAGTTTCCATTCTCCAAAGAACGTACGATTAAGGTAATAATTGCTTTAAAAGAATGTTTGCAGGAATTTAATATATAAAATTAGTTACGTTAATCGTCAATTAGTAACGATTTCATATATTGCTGTAATAATCTCTATATACGAGATTAATTGTCCAGGTTTTTTTGGATTCAGATGTGTTGTCGCTGTAGCGCTCGTAGAAAAATTCTAGTTGTAGACTAGAATAATATTATGTTCTGTCGTTCTCGTTTAGTACATCACCATCGTTGTTATAGATGTTAATATTTTTGGAGCGTTAAAAACAATGAGATCGGAGTGCATTTTTTCAGTTAGTCACGGAATTTGCAATATATCATGAAGTTAGTACGCTCTGAAGTTATCCAAATGATGTGCATATTTCATGTACTGTCCTGCTTCATTGTTCAGCAAGAGTTCAACGCACAAGCGTGTAGTGTTAATTTAGTTAATCGTTTAATGATATTAAGTGACTATCAGGTGTTTTTAAACATCACAGATATTGAGTAGCAATAAACATACACATAAATAGATATAAATGAATTTCTGAACGTACGCGCTCCGGACAGAAGGGCTTATCTCGTACCGCAGAATGCATCCTTCCATCGTTTCCGACAGTCCTGGAAGCCTAGTCGAGGTCTTGTAGTGGCCACCGCAACACTATCACTTCCGCTGTTGATAGTTAATGAGCTTTTCATTGTGTAATCCTGCATTTGAACCGCATTTGAATTTTTCTCAACCCGCGCGTGCGCACCCTCAAAAGCCCATTGCGTTGTGTGACGTTAGTTCGCGTGTCCGTCCCGCCCCGTTGTTAATAAGTCTGTTATATTTGCCAGGAAAAAATCGATTATAAATCATGGGATGAAAATAGCGTAAAATTTAATACTGATATTTTACTTTGTGAATGATATTTATTTAAGCCGAAGAAGTTTCTTACTAACATACATACATAAATACCAATACGCTTTTTATAAGGCTGCTCTCTAAGCTGTAAATAGCTTGTATACACAATATCAAAGCGGTTATCAAGAGTATAGGCACAATGTAGATTACAGTACAGGAATATGCATGAGGATAGCTTTACAGATATCCTGGTCCTTTAACTCAGCTTTCATCCTATGAATAATTTATCGGCTGCGAGAAAAGCGTGTAGTGATTATCCAGCTTGTCAATTTATATAGATTTGGGTATTATGTTGTCATTGCGACTGAATTGATTTAACACCTAAGCTAGTCGGCCTTATCTGATATCAGAATAATGAAACGACGCCAGTAATCTGGGTAAGAGGATATCGTGTGATGAAATATGACAAAAAATTTGCGAAAACTAGGCAGATAACAATTAATAGTAACATAACATCAAATTGCAAAATTGTAAAGGCTTAAAAATTCGATATATTTTGATTTGTACTTATACGTATTGCGTGACGTTAGGGTTCACTATGTCATGAATTCTGTCAATGCTAGTAATATCTGGGAGTATTAGTTTTCCTCAAATATTATGGATTTTCCTCTATATAGTTTCTTAAAATCTATTTTTAAATGTATAATTTTAAATTTAATCTATACATAATTATTTAATAATCCATCAAATAAGTTACAATAAATAAAGAAGATGCCGAGCTAATTTTATTAACCATGATTTGATACATATGAAAGGTACTTAAATTAATTATAAAGTTATAATGACTCGATAATTCAAAAATATTTACTAATGTAATTCTCATAAAAACAAAAATAAATCGTCTTTATAAACCAATGTTTATTAATAATTTATTACTAAACATTGGTTTTCGTTAATACGTATTTGTTGTTTTTAATAAACACAACATCATGTACTACATACGCACAAAACTCGCTTTTC